AATGGAAAACATGGAGCGCATGGACTCCCGGGGAATCCTGGCCGCCCACCTCAGACAGCATGCGAGCCCCTCACTCCACCACCCTGCAAACCATGCCCAGCTGGGCCTGCTGGACCACCTGGTCCTCAGGGACCTCCTGGAGATCCAGGAACCGATGGTCAACCTGGTCGACCTGGTAACAGTGCAACTCCTGGTCCACCTGGTCCTAAGGGACCTCCAGGACCCGACGGTAATCCAGGTGCACCGGGAGCTCCTGGAGATCCCGGAAATGACGCTGCTGTTGAGCCAGTCCTTCCTGGAGAGCCTGGACCTGCTGGTCAGCCTGGCCCGCCAGGAGCTCCTGGACCAAATGGCCAGCCTGGAGCTGATGGACAACCAGGTATATATTTAGATCACATTCATAGATTGTTGTGGCTTTCATGTGCGACTAACTTAACTCTTTCCAGGAGACATTGGGCCTAAAGGGCCTCCTGGAGCCAACGGACAACCAGGAGCTGATGGGAATCCTGGACCTCCAGGTGATCAGGGACCACCTGGAAATGGTGGCGAAAGAGGAATCTGCCCGAAGTACTGTGCTATCGATGGAGGAGTCTTCTTTGAGGACGGCAGTCGCCGTTAAAAGTCTCATTTCCTGCTCATCAAGTACTTCCCTTCCATACCATAATAAAACCTTAAGCTTACATTCCTTACAATGTCTCCTGGAAAAGAGTATAAAATCAACTCGAACGTGCGTATAAAGTCATTATCACGATGGCCAAGTTTGCTTCAAAAATGTCCCTGAGTGGAGTAAGAAAACCAAATTCCTCTCCAAAAACTTTTGATCAGTTTCACTTTAACACTACGACTTCCCTGATGGTTCCAGTTCAAATTCCTGAAAATAAAATAAGAAGCGTTGGACAGAGTGCTCAAGTCCAGACAGTGGAATAAAAACTTTGAGAATCTAGTGCGGAACAATCGGCAAACTTCGGGAGTTCACTGCGCGAAAATCTGTAAATTGGCCCATTGTGGATGCTGAATAGTGGAGAAGACGCTGCGCACCAACTAGGACCGGGAATAGCCTCACTCCCGTAGAAGTAAGCTAACCTCCGTTAGACCGGAATCACGTGCTTCTCTTTCAGTTCAAAGCCACACCCGCCTCCGTGGATCCTGGTACTTGCCGTGGGGACTTCGCGACTTCGCCTGCGCCGCCGCACTGCCAGCCACAGTCTAAGGCAGCGTTCAGACTTCGCGACGGCGGCGCTTCGGTCGCGCGATCGATCGATCGCGCCCGCGTACGACTGCCTCGATCGCTCGAACGTACGATCGCATCGCTAGGGCTAGCGTACGATTGTGCAACGCGACTGATTCGATCGCGCTCTGATACGAAAATCGGATGCTGATTCAGAGCCATTTGCTTGCTTTTTCCTTCTTTCTCCTCCCGTTAGCTTCTTGTTTTTTTCACCTTCCTACCTTTATTTCTTCAATTTGTCCCTAATGTTTGTCGGCTATTATGCTTGTTCACCTTTAACATATTGAAATTTTCAGATACATTGGTTTTTCGGATGGACGGCCGTGTTGAGTGCGCGCACTTCCTCTATTTCTGTGGGTTTTTCAGGTTGTAGTTTTGGTTATCTTTTTCATTCTTATTTTTTTGCTGAACTGCTGAATTGCCGACCAAACTAAACACAATATGATTGATATGAATGAAAAAGATAACCAAAACTACAGGAAACCTGAAGAACCCACCTAAGAAATATAGAAAGTGCGCGCACTCAACACGGCCGTCCATCCGAAAAATTCCAATGTATCTGAAAATTTCAATATGTTAAAGGAAGCTAAACAATCATAATTTTCGACAAACAGTAGGAACAGATTAAAGAAGTAGTGGTAGGAAAGTGAAAAAAAACAAGCATCTGTGCAGTCGATTTTTGCACTGGAGAGCGATGGAACCAGTCGCGCTACACAATCGTACGCTACCATTAGCGATCGCTCGAACGTGCAACCGAAGCGCCGCCGTCGCGAAGTCTGAAGGCTGCCTAACATACAGTCCTCATCATTGCGGACCGGTGGGGCGTGTCAGTGCGGCTGCGTTTGGCGCGGTGCCAAAGTCGTTCTGCACCAGTTGTTGAAGCGGATCACTCGTA